AACTCTACTCTGCTCTAGCCAGGGACTAGAGTTGATCAACTTTACTCTTCTCTAGCAAGAGACTAGGGTAGATCAATAATACTCTGTTTTAGCCAAAGACTACAGTTGATCAATTTTACTGGTTTCCTCCGGTTTTATGCTAATTCTTTTATGTTTTATTTTAATATTTGTATATTTTTCTATTCCTTCTTTTGTAGGCACCTTCTATGTTCAACTCGAAGATGACATCCTAGCCAAACGACACTTTATAACGTCGATGAAAAAATTTGCCATTACAAAAAGTGCTTTAACTAAACCGGATCAGGCACCTTGGTTTCTCTTAGATTTCTGCCAACTGGGTTTCATAGGTAAAATGTTCAAGTCGGCGGAACTGCCCTATCTAATAACATTTTTCCAAATGTTCTACAATGAAAAACCGGTCGATTGGCTATTGGGCTATTTCATCGAATCCAAGGTCTGTCGCACCGATCAAGATCAAAAGCATTGTAATCAGGAGAGAGCTAAATACTGGCTGCACTATCGTCCCTCACTGTTTCAACACATCGGCACGAGTTCATCGCTTAAGGGCAAAGTACAAAAACTCAAGGATAAACAATTTGGTTCTAAAGTTCCCACCTTCTATGCGCATGCCCATAATCCACCAGCCCTAGTTAAATCGAATATAGCGGCCTATAAGAATTATCAATTGAAAAGAGCTTATAAGGGGAGACCTATTTTTGGGGCCTTCTACCACAACCGGGAGATTTGGTGCAGTTTATATTCGATAAACCCATTACCCTTAAGCATTATCTCTTTCGCAGTGGTAATTCTGAACATCCCTCAGATCGTTTCTATAACACTACCATAGAGGTCTACCCGCCGATACTTTAAGTGAAAGTTCACCGGTGTGGAGTTTTTATAATTCAACCACTGATGGTTATCTGATAGTGGGCAATTTTGATGCCATGGGCGTGGCAGAGGGTTCATTAGATGCAAAAATTGGTGCTATTAAAGAAATGCGTTTACATGTTCATGGTGATAGTGAAAATTGGGCATTATTAAGTGAAATTGATTTACAGGTAGAAACTAAAAGATGATGGGATTAGCTTGATCTGCTAGAGCTGGCAGAGACAAACAACACTAACTAACACTTCTCCTAAACAACAAGTTTCAAACTGTGTTTTCATATTATAGTTATCCATGACCTATTTATTAAGGGAAGAACAAATTAAAATTAGAAAAATTTATAAGAGCATACATAGAGGAGAATTTATGTGTGTGTGTTTGAGTGTATTTTAAAGGTTTTCTATTGAGTTTTCTAAGTGTTTTTTATATAAATGTATTTCTATTACATACTTACAAAACCAAAAACAAAACTCCTTTTTGTGTAAGTGTCTAAAATGTTGTGACATTTTCGTTTATTTTTTAAGTGTATAAAGTTAAATAAACTTTTAGTAAATGTGAAAGAACGCGGAGCAAAGAATTTTATAAGGATAGTAAAGGATATGGAAAATTGATGCCATAATTGATACGATTTTTTATTTAAATATGAAAAAGCCATCTTTATTTATTTTTTTTTTTTGAGGTTATGTTTTTGTTTTAAATTTTTTTTTTATTTAATTTATTTTATTAGGTGAGAGAAAAGATTAGTTTCTGTTGAATTAAAAAATTATGTTTGATGGAAAGTCTTTTTGAAGAAAAGAACGAAGGCTAGAGTTGATAAACTATACTCTAGTCTAGAAGGAAACTCGAGATGATCATCTATACTCTGAACTAGCCAGAGACTCGGGTTATCAATTACACTCTAGGCTAGACAGGGATTGATTGATCAATCTATGCTTGAGTTAATCCGATACGAGTCAGAGACTCTGTCAGAGCAGAGTTGATCAACTGTAATCTCTGACTAGACTAGAGTTAAGCAATTCTATCTGTGACTAGACTAGAGTTAAGCAGCTCTATCTCTGTCTAGACTAGAGTAGAGTTGGTCAACTCTAGTCTATGTCTAGACTAGAATAGAGTTGATCAACTCTAGTCTCTGTCTAGTAGAGTTGATCAACCACTAGTCTCTGTCTAGCAGAGTTGATCAACACTAGTCTCTGTCTAGACTACAGTAGAGTTGGTAGACTCTAGTCTATGTCAAGACTAGAATAGAGTTGATCAACTCTTGTCTCTGTCTAGGCTAGAGTAGAGAGTAGACCAACTCTAGTCCCTGTCCAGACTAGAGTAGAGTTGATCAACTCTAGTCTCTGTCCAGACTAGAGTAGAGTTGATCAACTCTAGTCTCTGTCTAGGCTAGAGTTGATCAACTCTGGTCTCTGTCTAGACTAGAGTTGATCAACTCTGGTCTCTATCTAGAGTAGAGTTGATCAACACTGGTCTCTGATCAACTCTAGTCTCTCTGTCTAGACTAGAGTTGATCAAATTCTGTCTCTGTCTAGGCTAGAGTAGAGAGTAGACCAACTCTAGTCCCTGTCTAGACTAGAGTAGAGTTGATCAACTCTAGTCTCTGTCCAGACTAGAGTAGAGTTGATCAACTCTAGTCTCTGTCTAGGCTAGAGTTGATCAACTCTGGTCTCTGTCTAGACTAGAGTTGATCAACTCTGGTCTCTATCTAGAGTAGAGTTGATCAACACTGGTCTCTGATCAACTCTAGTCTCTCTGTCTAGACTAGAGTTGATCAATTCTAGTCTCTCTGTCTAGACTAGAATAGAGTTGATCAACTCTAGTCTCTCCGTCTAGACTAGAATAGAGTTGATCAACTCTAGTCTCTCTGTCTAGACTAGAATAGAGTTGATCAACTCTAGTCTCTCTGTCTAGACTAGAATAGAGTTGATCAACTCTAGTCTCTCTGTCTAGACTAGAATAGAGTTGATCAACTCTAGTCTCTCTCTGTCTAGACTAAAATAGAGTTGATCAACTCTAGTCTCTCTCTGTCTAGACTAAAATAGAGTTGATCAACCCTAGTCTCTGTCTAGAATAGAATAGAGTTGATCAACTCTAGTCTCTGTCTAGACTAGAATAGAGTTGATCAACTCTAGTCTCTGTCTAGACTAGAATAGAGTTGATCAACTCTAGTCTCTGTCTAGACTAGAATAGAGCTGATCACTCTAGTCTCTGTCCTAGACTAGAATAGAGTTGATCAACTCTAATCTCTGTCTAGACTAGAATAGAGTTGATCAACTCTAGTCTCTGTCTAGACTAGAATAGAGTTGATCAACTCTAATCTCTGTCTAGACTAGAATAGAGTTGATCAACTCTAGTCTCTGTCTAGACTAGAATAGAGTTGATCAACTCTAGTCTCTGTCTAGACTAGAATAGAGTTGATCAACTCTAGTCTCTGTCTAGACTAGAATAGAGTTGATCACAACTCTAGTCTCTGTCTAGACTAGAATAGAGTTGATCAACTCTAGTCTCTGTCTAGACTAGAATAGAGTGATCAACTCTAGTCTCTGTCTAGACTAGAATAGAGTGATCAACTCTAGTCTCCGTCTAGACTAGAATAGAGTTGATCAACTCTAGTCTCTGTCTAGACTAGAATAGAGTTGATCAACTCTAGTCTCTGTCTAGACTAGAATAGAGTTGATCAACTCTAGTCCTCTGTCTAGACTAGAATAGAGTTGATCAACTCTAGTCTCTGTCTAACTAGAATAGAGTTGATCAACTCTAGTCTCTGTCTAGACTAGAATAGAGTTGATCAACTCTAGTCTCTGTCTAGACTAGAATAGAGTTGATCAACTCTAGTCTCTGTCTAGACTAGAATAGAGTTGATCAACTCTAGTCTCTGTCTAGACTAGAATAGAGTTGATCAACTCTAGTCTCTGTCTAGACTAGAATAGAGTTGATCAACTCTAGTCTCTGTCTAGACTAGAATAGAGTTGATCAACTCTAGTCTCTGTCTAGACTAGAATAGAGTTGATCAACTCTAGTCTCTCTCTGTCTAGACTAGAATAGAGTTGATCAACTCTAGTCTCTCTCTGTCTAGACTAGAATAGAGTTGATCAACTCTAGTCTCTCTCTGTCTAGACTAGAATAGAGTTGATCAACTCTAGTCTCCTCTGGTCTAGACTAGAATAGAGTTGATCAACTCTAGTCTCTCTCTGTCTAGACTAGAATAGAGTTGATCAACTCTAGTCTCTGTCTAAACTAGAATAGAGTTGATCAACTCTAGTCTCTGTCTAAACTAGAATAGAGTTGATCAACTCTAGTCTCTCTCTGTCTAGACTAGAATAGAGTTGATCAAATCTAGTGTCTCTGTCTAGACTAGAATAGAGTTGATCAACTCTAGTCTCTCTCTGTCTAGACTAGAATAGAGTTGATCAACTCTAGTCTCTGTCTAGACTAGAATAGAGTTGATCAACTCTAGTCTCTGTCTAGACTAGAATAGAGTTGATCAACTCTAGTCTTTCTCTGTCTAGACTAGAATAGAGTTGATCAACTCTAGTCTTCTCTGTCTAGACTAGAATAGAGTTGATCAACTCTAGTCTTTCTCTGTCTAGACTAGAATAGAGTTGATCAACTCTAGTGTCTCTATCTAGACTAGAATAGAGTTGATCCACTCTAGTCTCTCTGTCTAGACTAGAATAGAGTTGATCAACTCTAGTCTCTGTCTAGACTAGAATAGAGTTGATCAACTCTAGTCTCTGTCTAGACTAGAATAGAGTTGATCAACTCTAGTCTCTGTCTAGACTAGAATAGAGTTGATCAACTCTAGTCTCTGTCTAGACTAGAATAGAGTTGATCAACTCTAGTCTCTGTCTAGACTAGAATAGAGTTGATCAACTCTAGTCTCTGTCTAGACTAGAATAGAGTTGATCAACTCTAGTCTCTCTCTGTCTAGACTAAAATAGAGTTGATCAACTCTAGTCTCTCTCTGTCTAGACTAAAATAGAGTTGATCAACTCTAGTCTCTCTCTGTCTAGACTAGAATAGAGTTGATCAACTCTAGTCTATCTCTGTCTAGACTAGAATAGAGTTGATCAACTCTAGTCTCTCTGTCTAGACTAGAATAGAGTTGATAAACTCTAGTCTCTCTGTCTAGACTAGAATAGAGTTGACAAACTCTAGTCTCTGTTTAGACTAGAATAGAATTGATCAGCTCTAGTCTCTGTCTAGACTAGAATAGAGTTGATCAACTCTAGTATCTCTCTGTCTAGACTAGAATAGAGTTGATCAACTCTAGTCTCTCTCTGTCTAGACTAAAATAGAGTTGATCAACTCTAGTCTCTCTCTGTCTAGACTAGAATAGAGTTGATCAACTCTAGTCTATCTCTGTCTAGACTAGAATAGAGTTGGTCAACTCTAGTCTCTTTGTCTAGACTAGAATAGAGTTGATAAACTCTAGTCTCTGTTTAGACTAGAATAGAGTTGATCAGCTCTAGTCTCTGTCTAGACTAGAATAGAGTTGATCAACTCTAGTCTCTCTCTGTATAGACTAGAATAGAGTTGATCAACTCTAGTCTCTCTCTGTCTAGACTAGAATAGAGTTAATCAACTCTAGTCTCTCTCTGTCTAGACTAGAATAGAGTTGATCAACTCTAGTCTCTGTCCAGACTAAAGTAGAGTTGATCAACCTCTAGTTTCTGTCCAGACTAGAGTAGAGTTGATCAACTCTAGTCTCTCTGTCTAGACTAGAATAGAGTTGATCAACTCTAGTCTCTCTGTCTAGACTAGAATAGAGTTGATCAACTCTAGTCTCTGTCTAGACTAGAATAGAGTTGATCAACTCTAGTCTCTGTCTAGACTAGAATAGAGTTGATCAACTCTAGTCTCTGTCTAGACTAGAATAGAGTTGATCAACTCTAATTTCTGTCTAGACTAGAATAGAGTTGATCAACTCTAGTCTCTGTCTAGACTAGAATAGAGTTGATCAACTCTAGTCTCTGTCTAGACTAGAATAGAGTTGATCAACTCTAGTTTCTGTCTAGACTAGAATAGAGTTGTTCAACTCTATTCTCTGTCTAGACTAGAATAGAGTTGTTCAACTCTATTCTCTGTCTAGACTAGAATAGAGTTGTTCAACTCTAGTCTCAGTCTAGACTAGAATAGAGTTGTTCAACTCTATTCTCTGTCTAGACTAGAATAGAGTTGTTCAACTCTAGTCTCAGTCTAGACTAGAATAGAGTTCATCAACTCTAGTCTCAGTCTAGACTAGAATAGAGTTGATCAACTCTAGTCTCTGTCTAGACTAGAATAGAGTTCATCAACTCTAGTCTCTGTCTAGACTAGAATAGAGTTGATCAACTCTAGTCTCTGTCTAGACTAGAATAGAGTTGATCAACTCTAGTCTCTGTCTAGACTAGAAAAGTGTTGATCAACTCTAGTTTCTGTCTAGACTAGAATAGAGTTGATCAACTCTAGTCTTTGTCTAGACTAGAATAGAGTTGATCAACTCTAGTCTTTGTCTAGACTAGAATAGAGTTGATCAACTCTAGTCTTTGTCTAGACTAGAATAGAGTTGATCAACTCTAGTCTTTGTCTAGACTAGAATAGAGTTGATCAACTCTAGTCTTTGTCTAGACTAGAATAGAGTTGATCAACTCTAGTCTTTGTCTAGACTAGAATAGAGTTGATCAACTCTAGTCTTTGTCTAGACTAGAATAGAGTTGATCAACTCTAGTCTCTCTCTGTCTAGACTAGAATAGAGTTGATCAACTCTAGTCTCTCTCTGTCTAGACTAGAATAGAGTTGATCAACTCTAGTCTCTCTCTGTCTAGACTAGAATAGAGTTGATCAACTCTAGTCTCTCTCTGTCTAGACTAGAATAGAGTTGATCAACTCTAGTCTCTCTGTCTAGAATAGAATAGAGTTGATCAACTCTAGTCTCTCTGTCTAGACTAGAATAGAGTTGATCAACTCTAGTCTCTCTGTCTAGACTAGAGTAGAGTTGATCATCAAGTCGAGTTTTTTTTTTAACGAAAACTAATTTTTCTCTTACCCAATATTTTTTTTTAAAAGATTTTTTTAAATTTTCCACAAGATGGCCTTTTAATTATTTATATTTTTATTTAAACAATTTATTAATTTTATTACAAAACCTGTTAAAATTGTTATATTTTTACTCATTAAAAAAAAATAACGAATTTTTTTGTTAATTATTTTTTTACACCATTTTTTTACATAATTACACTGTTATATTTATTTTCATGAAACTAAATTAATTATAAAAACTCGAAATTAAGTTTAATAAAAAAAAACTAAATAAACTAAAAAAAAATTAATATTTTTTATATGCCCAAGCCTGTTTTGTATTTAATTTTTTTGTACCAAATATATAAAAAAAAATCAAACAAACAAAAGGCTTGTTTTTATTGCTAAATAAATGATGTATATTAATTATTAATTAATTATATTGTGTACTGTGATTTGTTATTAAATTAATTTAAGTAATAAAAAAAAAAAAAAAACAAAAAAATAAAAACAAAGAAAATACTATTTTTTATTTGCCCCAAAAAAGAAACGAAATTTTTGCAAGTTTTGTAAAAAGAAAAATAAAACATTCAGTTACTAACAAAAATTCATATAAAAAACATAAAATTAACAAATAATAAACATTTGTATAAAGTTAATAATAAATTTTAATTGTAAAATGTACATTTTTTAAGCTAAAAACCGTTAAAAGAAAACGTATTAATTGATTTTTTTTTTAAAAGGCCAAAAATAACAAAATAAAAATAATTGTTTGCAATTAGACTGCTTTTTTATGTGTAAAAATAAGATGGCGATATGATGATAAACAAAATATAACATTGGTGTGCTAATTAATTATTTATTTTTTTCATAATTGTAAGATAACTTATTGAAGAATTAACAGTAAATATTCGGCTAAGACGAATTTGAAATACTTCTCACCATAGTAGGAAGAAAATTTAAAAAAAAATCTTTTACAAAATCTACTTTAGTCTAGATGGAGACTAGAACTGATCAACTCTACTCTAGAGCTGATCGATCAACTGTACTCAAGTCTAGATGGAAACTAGACCTGATCAACTCTACTCTAAACTAGACAGAGAGCTGACCAACTTAAACTGAAATGAATGTATAGAAAAATTGATCTTGACAAATTTTAGAAGACTCTTACTAGCTTCAAGATCATTAATTAATATTAATTAGCAAAATCTTTTCTAAAATAAACCACAAAAATATGTGCGTATAACACTATGGTGAGGGGTAACAAAAAATGTGAACAAAATGTTTGTTCGGTATTTCAAACAACAAAATGCGTTATAATTAAATTTATGAACAAAAACAAAAAAAGAAAATCAAATAAATCATTTTTTTTAAGTAATTCTCTTTTATTTTGGATTTTTTTTCACAAACGTAGTGTATCAAGGAAAAAATGTGAACATCAACAACAACCGAAAAATAAACTCGAAAAATTAGACAAATTATTTAAAATAAAAAAAAACAACAACAACAAAACAAACCAACAAAATTTTAAAATAAAATGTTGAACACCAATTTTTTTTAGTTTGTTTTGAATTATTTAGCTAAATTTTATTTAAAAGTGGAAGCAACAAGTGGGGTAAAGTTGATGAAAAGTCATTAATCTTTTTTAATAAAAGAAGATGTACGAGAAATCATTTTAGATTTGTAAATGCCAGATGTCAAAGTATGACATGGAACTACTACGCGGTAAAATTATTTTAAAAGATAATTAAAAATGTAATAAAATGTTTAAGCGATAATAAAATTTCAGCAGAAATACATGCCGAAGTAAAATGTGACTGATAGATAGATATAGATATATAGATAGATAGATAGATAGATAGATAGATAGATAGATAGATAGATAGATAGATAGATAGATAGATAGATAGATAGATAGATAGATAGATAGATAGATAGATAGATAGATAGATAGATAGATAGATAGATAGATAGATAGATAGATAGATAGATAGATAGATAGATAGATAGATAGATAGATAGATAGATAGATAGATAGATAGATAGATAGATAGATAGATAGATAGATAGATAGATAGATAGATAATAGATAGATAGATAGATAGATAGATAGATAGATAGATAGATAGATAGATAGATAGATAGATAGATAGATAGATAGATAGATAGATAGATAGATTAGATAGATAGATAGATAGATAGATAGATAGATAGATAGATAGATAGATAGATAGATAGATAGATAGATAGATAGCTAGATAGATAGATAGATAGATAGATAGATAGATAGATAGATAGATAGATAGATAGATAGATAGATAGATAGATAATAGATAGATAGATAGATAGATAGATAGATAGATAGATAGATAGATAGATAGATAGATAGATAGATAGATAGATAGATAGATAGATAGATAGATAGATAGATAGATAGATAGATAGATAGTAGATAGATAGATAGATAGATAGATAGATAGATAGATAGATAGATAGATAGATAGGTAGATAGATAGATAGATAGATAGATAGATAGATAGATGATAGATAGATAGATAATAGATAGATAAATAGATAAGATAGATAGATGATAGTAGATAGATATATAGATGATAGATAGATAGATAGATAGATAGATAGATAGATAGATAGATAGATAGATAGATAGAAGATAGATAGATAGATAGATATAGATAGATAGATAGATAGATAGGTAGATAGATAGAGATAGATAGATAGATAGATAGATAGATAGATAGATAGATAGATAGATAGATAGATAGATAGATAGATAGATAGATAGATAGATAGATAGATAGATAGATGATAGATAGATAGATAGATAGTTAGAGGATAGATAGATAGATAGATAGATGATAGATAGATAGATAGATAGATAGATAGATAGATAGATAGATAGATAGATAGATAGATAGATAGATAGATAGATGATAGATAGTAGATAGATAGATAGATAGATAGATAGATAGATAGATAGATAGATAGATAGATAGATAGATAGATAGATGGGCAGATATATACAGCCCCATTGCATTTTATATTTATACTTATTTAGACAATTTGTCTAGCAAATGTATGGAATTTTCCACACAGATGTTTTTTATAACAAATTTCAGTATTTTTTTCTTTTTATTTATATTTACTCTTAAAAATTTTTTTCTTTTTATTTCCATTTACTTTTAAACAAAATTCACTTTTTTTTAATATTTTCCATAATATTTAGTTTTATTTATGTATGTATGCGTGTAATGTATGTATGTGCTTGTCCAATAATAAATGTGTAGCAAGTATATTTAATTATCTTTCGTATTTTGTTTTGTATTAAATATTATATATTTACTATAAATAATTTTAAACTTTCTTTCAAATATTCAATATTTGCTTGTGTTAAATTTAATTTAATTTCTTTAGATTCGTCTTGATTTCCTCTTGCCATATAAATAAATAAAATTTTGATCAAATATTAGTTAGAATTTTTTGTTTGTTTTGTAATACTTGTTTTCCTTGTTTAACAAATTTGAAATTTGAACTTATGTATAATATGCATACGATTATTAAATAGTTTTAAATATATATATAGAGATGATAGTATAACAATTGTATTAATTTGAGAGCAAAAAAAATAACATAAGGAAAAAAACCTTTTTTAAAGGCGTCTTTGTTTAGAAAATATAAATTAGTCGCATTTTTTCGTTCAGTCCTCTCTGCTTATATAGTGGAATATTTTTGTATATATATATATTAAAAAAAGGTCCATAATTTTGTCGTTATATAGCTTATGGAATTGGTATTATCATTTTAATTTCCATAAAGCATCCAATTCATTGAGAGGATCTTTAGTGGCTTGTTTCTCTTGGGCGGTTACTTGGGGAGCAATTTTCATTTGATACGAAGTCATTATGCCTCCTGTTTTAGGTTTATAAATCAATTTTATTCTAACTACATTGAAAAAATTGAAAAGAAATGTACTTACTTTTATTTAGAACATCGTGAGCATGATTTAGAACAATTTGTAAAGATTGCTCCAAAGTTTCCACATCACGCAAGGCCTTTTGACGTTGACTACAAATGCGCAACCAAACATCAATGACATCTAGAGTAAGAAAATTAATTTCATTGTTTAGATTTGTTTAAGTTGGAAGAAATGGAATGATTGATAGTGAACAAAAAGTTGACGTAGATCTATGTTGTGGTGCTATTTAATAAGGAGTTTAGGAGGTACATTGGGATATTGGTCAATACGAAATCTGTTTTAAATGTTTCCCTAGTAGGCACAACCCAATATTAAGACCTCGGGTTTTATCGGGGTTAATATCGATTAATTGAAGACGATTTGGTTAGATACGTAACTCCCGGTTTATTCAACTTTTTTTTTAAACAGGTTCGGTGACAGAACTTCAATTTTGGAAACTCCTTAAGGTTGAGTAATGTCTAAATGTATTGACAATTGGTGACAGGAGGGAGAGAGGTCTGTATGATTCTACCTGCTTTGCTAGACCTTGGGATATTATCAGCTTTAATTGAGATCTTTGGTGAGGTACTTTACTACCCGTTAGTACACATTTTTAAACATCAACATGGATATAACGTGTAGGCAAATAGCTTTCGATGATTTTGCATCTCTAGTGACCTTCTTAAAGGTATTTGGTAGTTTAGATATGTTGAAATTAAACAGGATAGGCGAACATCAACTTCCCCTTGGAGTAGTGTCTCAAGTGTCTTGGCAATGCGTGATAGAAGGGAGATAGGTCTGTATGTTTCTCCCTTGTTTTTAGCAAAGGAGACAGCCAAAGTAATTTCCAGCTCTTGGGTAATATTAGGATTATTATCGACAAATAGAACTTTGACCGAGGCTTTGGAGAGTTACTCAACACCCGGTTCATCCAAATATTTTAACATCAACATGGATATACCGTCTAGGCCAATAGCTTTCGATGATTTCGCATCTCTAATGACTTTCACTTTATAAAATCATATGATAGTTTATACATGTTAAAATTAAACAGAATCGGCGAAAGAACTTCTCCTTAGGGAACTTTTGAAGGTGCTATAGTGCCTCAAGTGTATCGGAAATGAGCGACAGGTTGATTTTTGCTCCTTTTCATGGAAACCTGTAGGTTAATAACGACAATTTGGACAAGTACTCAACTCCCGGCTTATCGAAATTATTTAACATCAAAATGGATATACCATCTGGGCCAATAACGTACAATGAAAGCTTCTCAAGTATGCACCAAGATCTATTGTACTCCTTAGTTCACTATCTTCCATTCCAAACATTAATTATTATTTAGCTGTAAAGAAGAAGAAAAAACATACTTATTAAAACTGGTCGTTTATTTTGTGTAGCCAAAATGGCACTTATGCCAATGGCCACTATTTCCGATCTTTCAGAACCGGTTAAGCAGTTCAAAACCAGTGGAGAAGAAGGGGTATTAAAATCGAGGCAACGTTGTTGATGAGCCTGTAAAGCATTACGTGCTATACCCACTACTAAGGGAGGAGTGCTGCAGAAGGAATAAGATTAGGTTTAAAAGGAGAGTTTAGATTTGGTTATATTTCTTTATACCTTTTAGTCCATGTTTTTATTTGCAATACTGACAATTCGATAATGGCATCAGCGCCCAACATGGAAAGTTTCAATTGATATTCTATGCAATGCGATAATTGTATTATTTTTATGCATTTAACAGTGAAATCATCAAAATTAGATTCTTTATCTACCGACTGAGGCCAGAAGGGATCAAGCATCTAGCAATAGAAATTTATAAAATCAAGTTAATCTTATTTTGTTCTTAATAAAGCTTTAATATCGAGTTTCCTTACCTCATTTGGTGTATGTAGCGAGAGTATAGTTCGTGCCTTTTGTGACCAAATCATGGACCAAAAATCATTTATAGTATTTTGTTGCGGAGTTTGGGCTATTATGAAATTCGGACAGCCAGTACTCAAATTCTAAAAGTAAAACAATTGTATTTCTTAAACTAATACAATTCATAACATTTCATTTACCTTAACAAATGCTGCATTAATATAATCATCCGTTTCCTTATCCAATTTAACCCGGGCATGATCGTAGGGCAAACAATCTAAGGATCTATTTTTCTCGGGAAATAGTTTTGCTATTGAAGTGGTTCTAGTGGGCGCCTCTTTGCCCAGAAGATCTTGTAATTCTTTCCATTTTGTAGATAATGGAGTATGACCATTAAGCATTTTAACATTTAGAGACTCAATGAATTTTTCAAAACGCTCTACCTCCTTGTGAAAATATTTAAGAGTTTTGTCATCATTAAAAGGATCTAAGGGTTTTAGTTGGAATGTAGAACCGGAATGTTTTTGATCATTGTTCGAAGGTTTATCACTGCGCATGGAAACCGAATCCCAATCGAAATTATCCAAAGAGGAAATGTCAGAACAATTGGATAAATTATCAAAACTGGCTTTGCGTGTAGCTGGTGAATCCACCGGAGAAGTTAGTTGTTGTAAAGGTGCGGCCGGTAAACAGCCGGTTAAAGGTGAGAGTTGGTTATCCACAGTAGAGTTTATGTAGTCCTAAACATAAATTTGTTATAGAAGAATTCTTTAAAAGAAAAAAATCAAAAACCCACCTCTACTTGTTTAGTTTTTTCATCTTTTTGTTGAGTTTCTTCTTTTTCTTCGTTTTTCTTGGGTGTAGTGGGTGCTGCCACCTGGCTGGTGGGGGGACTACTTACCACTTGAGGTTTTAACACTGGTTGTGGTAATATAGGTGGTGGTACTGCTGCTACACCCGAAAAATCTATATCACTTAACAAATCAATATTTGATGATTTCTTAGTATTAATCACTGGCTTGGGGGCTGGTGCTGTTGTAGCTGCTGGAGCTGTTGATTTTACTTCTGGAACTTTTGCTGCTGGTGTCTCCAGTTGTTGTTCTTGTTTTGTCATTGGAGACTGTTGACTGCTGGTAGCATAAATATTACCACTTTTTGTAGTTTGTGTATTGGCTGTAGTGCCCGTGCCACTTTGTATATAAATATTTGTTTGTGGCTGTTGGTAAGTTGTTTGTTGGGGCGTGGCAGGTCGTGGTGTACCTGTAGCAAGTTGACCAGTTTGTATGGGTGCTATTGGTGGGGTATTACCATTAGTTTGATAACCATAGGGAGCATTGTAGTAATTCATGTTATCAGCAGGGATAGTTGATGGTTTTGCATCTGGTTTTACTGTGGCAATTGGTGTGGGTTTGGTGTGAGAAACGATGGGAGACTGGAAATGGAAAAGTTGTAAATATAATTAAGGGAATTTTTATTTATAATCAAGTCTTTAATAGGCTTATTTCTTAATGGAACTAATAATCGAATTGTTATCGAGAGTTTCAGTATAAAAGTAGATGTATGTACATAGATAGATAGATAGATAGTAGATAGATAGATAGATAGATAGATAGATAGATAGATAGATAGATAGATAGATAGATAGATAGATCGATAGATAGATATAGTAGATAGATGATAATAGATAGATAGCTCGCTCGCTCGCTCGCTCGCTCGCTCGCTCTCTCGCTCGCTCGCTCGTCGCTCGCTCGCTCGCTCGCTCGCTCGCTCGCTCGCTCGCTCGCTCGCTCGCTCGCTCGCTCGCTCGCTGCTCGCTCGCTCGCTCGCGCTCGCTCGCTCGCTCGCTCGCTCGCTCGCTCGCTCGCTCGCTCGCTCGCTCGCTCCTCGCTCGCTCGCTCGCTCGCTCGCTCGCTCGCTCGCTCGCTCGCTCGCTCGCTCGCTCGCTCGCTCGCTCTCTCGCTCGCTCCTCGCTCCTCGCTCGCTCGCTCGCCCGCTGCTCGCTCGCTCCCTCGCTGCTCGCTCGCTCGCTCGCTCGCTCGCTCGCTCGCTCTCGCTCTCGCTCGCTCGCTCGCTCGCTCGCTCGCTCGCTCGCTCGCTCGCTCGCTCGCTCGCTCGCTCTCTCGCTCGCTCTCGCTCGCTCGCTCGCTGGGTCGCTGTCGCTCGCTCGCTCGCTCGCTCTCTCGCTCGCTCGCTCGCTCCTCGCTCGCTCGCTCGCTCGCTCGCTCGCTCGCTCGCTCGCTCGCTCGCTCTCTCGCTCTGGGTCGCTCTCTCGCCTCGCTCCTTAGCTCGCTCGCTCGCTCGCAGCTCGCTCGCTCGCTCGCTCGCTCGCTCGCTCGCTCGCTCGCCTCTCTCGCTCGCTCTCTCGCTCGCTACGCTCGCTCGCTTTCGCTAGCTGCTCGCTTCGCATCGCTCGCTCGCTCGCTCGCTCGCTCGCTCGCTCCTCGCTCGCTCGCTCAGCTCGCTCGCTCGCTGCTCGCTCGCTCGCTCCCCCATCTCTCTTCCAATCGACACTCCCGTGGCTCCATTAATTTTCCCAGCCCTCTGGGTGATCGGTCGTCCCAACTTGGGTATTGACAGCCGCCGCCTCCTGTAGTATATTGACCATAAAACTGTTGATTAGCTGATTAGTTTGCTGATAGCCACTATTATAATTAAAATTGCCCGTTTGCGGATTAAAACTATAACCAGGATGCATAGTAGTGTGTGATGATGACAAAGAACCAAATGGAGCGGTAGTAGTGGTAGTGGATGTAACAACATTAGAAGTTAAAGCATTAGAAGTTGAAGAAACTGGAGCTGGAACAGCAGCAGACGGATACATTGTGGCGTTAGTGCCTACCACTTGTAAAGGATTTTGAATCTGAGGAGTTTGCTGCAAGTTTGTGGAGCCAGCAGTAGCTGGTGCTGTCTGTGTGTTTGGTAGATGATTAACAACAAAAGGAGCCTGCATGGTGGGAGGTACCATATTTTGAGCAGTTGATTGCAAAAGTGTAGTTGAAGAAGGCAAACCAGTTTGATTTGTGGCCACATACAAAGGTTGATTTGTAGGTACACTTGTGGGGGGAGTTTGATAGCTATTCTGTTGAGAACTTTGCTGATAAGTTGGATTCAAATTATTGCTTGCTGGTGTATTGGTACCATAGAAATAGGGTTGAGGTGTATAAGTGGTGGCAGCAGCTGTTGTAACAACTGGTGGTGATGGTGTATACATTTGTGGCGTATTTGAAACCGTTGACTGTGCAGCATACAGAGAATTATTGGTCATATTGGATGTTGGAGGATTGTTAGTTGAATATGGCAAAGATGTAGTATTGTTGTTGTTTAGAGAAGCTTGATTAAGGTACGTTTGCTGGTTGTTCGGGTATGTTGGTTGATTTGTTAGATAGTTCTGATTGTTGCCTTGATAAACCAAAGGATTTTGAGGATTATTAGACAACGAGTTGTAAGACATTTGTGGGTAATTCCCGGTGTTGGCTACTCCTGTTAGGGGATTTGTAGTATTGTTAGTGTTTTGTTGTGGCTGCTGTTGCAAATTCAAATTAGCCATGTTGGCATTTAAAGCCGTGAACTGTGAGTTTGGAGAGGCTTGAGGCTTATAAGCCGGTGGCGCTATATTCTGTTGATATTGCAAAAACATGGGATTGGTGTAGCCTGCTCCAGTGGTATCATAATATTGTGTATAGGGTGGTGGTGGTTCATTGGGTCCCACTGTAGGTGGTAAAGTGCCACTTGTGGGAGGATAATAAGAACTACCACCCGAGCAAACGGCCTGTGTAGGATTCTCAGAGCCCAAAGGATTGGGCCTTACAGGCGGTATGTATTGCTGAGGATTTGTTGCATTATAGGCCGCCGTATTTGCATTTGGCGGCATTGTGTTAAGATTTTTTTCTTTAGCTGCCTTTTTGGCATTCAAGTAATCACGTAATTTTGGTGTAGTGGAGGTGGTGGCTGCAATGGATGGATTGGATAAGGGTGTGGTATTATTAAGCTGATAGGAATCAGTAGATAATGGGGCTGGGGGTACTGGAGAACCATAAGGTTTATGGGTAACACTTTTCAAACGTTGCTGACGTTCTTCGGATTGAACATCTCTTGCAGATTTGCAGCGTGATAAAAGTTTTTGAACATTGGCTGGAAAGAGTAAGAAATATTAAAAATAATTTCATGATTGCAGTATAATTCCTAAACTCACCCGATAATTTATTATAGAACTCTAAACCCTTGGCCGATTTGGCCAATAAATCTTCATACACATCATAGGAGGCAGCCAAAGAGGCAAAGAATCCCTCACGTTTATTTTTAACATCTGCCAAGGTCTTCAAAACAGGAGCCGCCTTAGCATAGGATTCCGTTAAAGCCTTTAAAATATTCTCCTGGGCCAATAGGTTTTGATCTATTAACTGGGTCAAACGTTCATGTTTGGCCATTTCACGATCGAATAAAGCCTGCAAATCTTCCTCAGAATCGTGGGCTATAATTTTAGTGGTAATATCATCATCATTGACCGCTATACGTAAATCAGCATGAAATTGGGAACGTTGTGCCTTCATTTCATTAACTTTATTCACGATAAGTTTAACATCTTTAAAAACTTCAGCGGTATTGAGTTCAGAACTCAACTTGGGCACAGACTGTTGTATGTCTTGCAAAGGTTTGGCCAAGATTTTCAAATTATTGATGTGCAACTCCATGGCTTTACGTAAAGTATCATTAGACTCGCCTGCTCTATTGTGAGCCTCGGAGTATTTTTGAAATTCACGCGTTAATTCGGTTATATGGGCATTGGGTGTTCGTTGTACACCGGTGAGTTGTTGAAACTCCTTTTCCTCCTTCTCTTCCTGCTGTAATATCATAGAGATCTCCTTAAGATTGGCCTCTACATCACCACATATCTCTGCTAAACGTGACATGGATTGCACCAGTTCTGGTATGGCGGTTTTATTGGCATTTAAGGCTGCACATCGGTCCACTATACCCTGAGGTATTTTATTAGCCTTTTCCTCATTGATATTAAGATTATCCAATGTTAGCGAACTCATAAAACTAGCCAATTCACCATCTTTCTCCTCAATTTTGTTGCCATATTTACGCAATAGTTTAGCTTTTTCCTCACTATACATAGAGCTAGCTTCATGCGCCTTCATGGGCACTAGACGAGCAAATATATCCTCACCTGCTATCTCTGGATCTGTGGCAGAAAATCCTATGCCATTTACTAGATTAGCTCCTTGTACCGCACTTATGGTTGCCAATTCGGGTACGGATTCGTGATAAATGAATTCATTTTCATTTTTAGCATTTTTACGTTTTGCCTCCACGACATCAGCGGTGAATATGAGAGATTCATTGATTTCTTTTATATCGGGTAGACCTTTGGATTCTTTGCGTGCTTCTTCGAGTTTTTCCCAAGCAGCCTAGAAGGAAGAATGTGCAGAAAATTATGTTGTATTTATTTTCAATTGTATACAAATTGCTGGAAAAGTGAACTAAAACTAAACTAGAACTGAACTAGAACTTATGGAGTACAACGTATACAGTGAAAACCACTTCCATTCACTTTCGGCAAATTCCCTCAAAAAAATGTTTCCTTTAAACTTACCTCATACAAAGTAACCCTCTCTCCCATTTTCCTTTGCTCTTCAGCATGTTGTCCTTGATATAAGTATAAAATGCAACTCAAGTAGGAAATCTTAAAACGAACATATTTCTTCCATTGTTTATAAACGGCCGAATCGACTACATGGGCCACAGGGCCATCATCTCCACCAGTAAGTAAAGCAGCCAAGGCCGCCCCATAATACACCACTATTTGTGCGGTAACTTTAGCCACAATATTTGGTTTACGATTATCTATTAACGATTTCTCCAGTATACATTCCTGAGCCTGGGCAAAGGAGACCTGTTGCATAAACACCAGCAATTCAGTAGTAAAACAATCACCAAATTCATCCATATTAATATAACGTTCACGTATCTCGCCAAAAGCCCAGGCGGCACATTGGAAATGGGTGCAGGCCAATTTCATGCCCTCTATATCGGTACGATTGACCGCGGCACCGGCTTGTGTATGAGCTGCTGCTACATTGTATAAGACGGCAGCTTGTTCATAGCCTATGTCATTGTATTCCTGAACCTTGGAGTTGTATAGATCCTTCCAGGTAAATTGAAAAATAACTTTCTTGTCTCTTAACTTGGGAAAACGATTAAGCAACGACTCCAATTGGCAAAAATAACGCTTTAGTATAGCACAATTATCCTTAGGGGTATTTAAAGCTTGATTGCGTAAAGTTTCTAAAGCATAAAGTTCTTTGGAATAATTGTCCGGATTCTCTTGATAAAATTCGGCAATATACTGTGAAAAGTAAAGATAAAATTAACAAAGCATTATTTAAATACATGTAAATGCAATACATCAAATAATAATAATAAACTTAAAAAATAATAAAAACAGATGAGTCAGTTTTTTCACAATCGCCGACACCCCTCCCTCTTGTACAATGAAAAATAATTATCCAATTGCTTTCTTTTGTTCTTTTTAGCTGATAATTTCATTAATTTTTTATGAGTTACTACTTACTTTCTTTAAACCCGCAAAGGAAGTCCCCTCCGGACTGGATTTGTTGGGAAAAGACAACATATGAAGTCGTGGAACTGCCTCCATTGTGTTGTGAGTAGACAAAAATTTCACCAGTCAATCAATTGCAATCAAATTGGAAATTTTTTGCTTAAACTATTTCTTTAGATTTTCTTAATTCTGTCATTGATTTATTATTTTCTACAACTTTTACTTATGCGTTTTATTGTTATTTGTTAGTTTAAATTAATTATTTTTTTATGCACAAATCTACCAGAAAATAATTTAACACCGATTTTTTTTTTTTTTTTTTTTTTTTTTTTTTGTCGATTTTGGGATTACTCCGTGCCCCCTTAAAAAAAAACAAGGGATGGGAGATTTACTTGGCTGGTCCAAAGGGATAAAACGCCACCAACAATTTAAATCTAAAGTTCTCTAAAGTTTAATATTAGCCTCCTTAATAAAGTCCGTAATGAAATGATAATTCTCAATAGGTTCCTTCCTGAAAAATGACGTGGTATTATCATACTGCTCTAATACCGGATACCTCAAGCGGATGTGGTTGTATTTGGTACATTCGAATATGATATGTGAGTCGTCGTCAACTTCATTGCACAGAAGGCAAGTGTCATCATCCAAAACATGTAATCTAGCCAAAGTATGTGGACTGAAGGAATGGCCTGAGAGTATTCTGTTCAACTGTCTTATCTGAATAGCATTCATCCCCAAGGAGTTATGGTTGAACCAAGGTTTCCTAAGGAGACTTGGGAATATTTTTCCGAATTCCCGACCTTTCGTACGACTTAGATCAACATATTCTCTCTCCCACTCATCATGTAGTCTCCTTTCGATCTCCCTTATAGCTTCGTCTTTAGACCATTTTATTTGCAATGTCAGGCCATCTTGAGTGGCCTTTTTAGCTTCTTCATCAACACGTTCGTTCTCGAATATTCCCCTATGCGAAGGGATATAATGAAACTCAACAGTGGAAAGTGTAGGGCTGGAATCTATCAAATCATGAATTCTGGAACATGCCGCATTTGAAACACCGTTTTTCAAGGCCAGAACACCACTTTTGCTGTCAGTAAGTATCGCCAATTTCAGAAAGTTCATCTCCTTTGCAAATTCTACCGCCTTTTCCATTATGTGCAATTCCACCGACATGGATGACACTGTTTTCGACAATTTAAATCTCCTTACAGTGTTAGACCTTGGATGAAAGAAGGCTCCACCAGCTTGGTTCTCCATTATGGAACCATCAGTATATACCAGCTCCAAATTCCTGCTCATGATGTCGTTTTTTTTACTGAGAAATATTTGATTCACCTCCTGAGGATTCAGGTTCGCCTTGTTGCTATGATAGAAGTTTTCATATGTTCGCACTTTTCGGGATTCCACTGTAGAAGTACGTATTTGTTCCACGTCCAAGAGTACATTCTTGAATTTATCAAACATCTTGTAATAACTCGTGTCCAAAGGTTTCTCCAAGGTTGGGAGCAATTTTGCCAAAGGCATTTCCAAATGGAATAGTTTCACCAGATCTTTCCCTGCTGCCAGTTGAATTCTATATTTAGGGGGCAATTCGGCCGCTAGATGATATAAGACATGTACCGGGGTGGATTTCATAAGACCCAGGGCCCTTCTAACGTGGAAATTCGATTGAGTCTGAAATTTAGCCAGGGCTCTTCCGGAAAGGTTCGCAAAAGATGACGCAGCATATTCCAATTGTGATCGGGCATAAACTCTATAAAACTGGATGGCCCTTGCCGGATGTATTCCATAAAGGCAACCACTTGTCGTATTCAAAAACCTGCAAGTCCGGTTTATTTTCGATATTGCCTGCGTCACATGAGATAGTGAAGAATTATTCGCCGAGACTATCCTGCCAAGATATTTGATCTCCTTTACTTCCGTTAACATTCTACCATTGAAATTGAGATTAATTTGAGAACTCCTTCTACCAAATGATGTCACCGTGGTCTTGTCGTAGTTTATATTAAGGTCCAATTGTTCACAATCGTAAATGAATTCACCAAATTTGCGTTCCAGGATGTCCAACGCCTCATCCCAAGTTTCATCAAATGCAAGAATGAAAAAATCGTCCGCAAACTGAAAAATATACGTGTTTTCATCCTCTATGTTGTGAAGTGATGCCGTGTACAAATTGAACAGTATTGGGCTCAAGCCGCTGCCCTGAGCCAGTCCACGATTAGTCTTAGTTTTCGCATCGTGAAGATGAAGTGTACGGTCTTGGAGATATGATGTTAGCCACAGTACCAATTTACGATTAAAACCCATCTCCATCAATTTGGCTCCTAAGGTGTTCACGTTCACATGGTCATACGCTTTTTCTATATCAATACAAATCGCCACTACTTTCCGTTTTTCAGTTCTGAGGTATTGAACTGTATTTATCAAATCGTTAATGCATTGCGTCGTGCTCATATTCTTGCGGAAAGCAAAAGACCTTTCGGGTATGATCTTCCTGGAATTTGCGAATTGCTCCATATGTGGTTTCAACATACCCTCTATGCACTTGAGAAGTACTGGCAGAAGACATATCGGTCTATAATCAGTAATATCCACCGAATCTTCACGTTTAGGGATGGGGTGAACTTTTATATGTCTCCAGATATCAGGAATGTTACCAGAGATCCATATTCTGTTGAGCACTGCAAACAATTTCTTCCTGCCGCTATCCGAAAGATTTAAAAGCATTCTGTAAGTTATTCCATCAGCTCCGCCTGCAGAGTCAGGCTTACGAGAACTTAAAAAATCTTCGAAATCACTCAGATTCAAATTGATATCCTCCATTTGCACTAGTGGGTAATCTGATGGCACAAAGTTACTCGAGTCCGTGCAGGAGGTCATGTTATTCAAAAATTGAGTATTTTGCTGAGAGCTCCAGCTGTTATTCACCTTTTTTACTCGGTCATATTTCTTCAGGTTGTTCATCTGTCTCCACATCTTCTCCTGAGTTTCCGGATTAGACAATTCTTCCTGCAGTTTCCTAAAATGCTCGTGTTTCCTCTTCCTAATATGTTTCTGGAAGTTCTCATCCGCCTCAACAGCTATTATATTATTCTGCCATGATTTGTATCTGTCATTTTTCAGCCTGGCCGCATTTCTGATTCTGAAGAGCTTCTCAGATTCTTTATCCCACCAAGCCTTTGCCTTATAATGGTTTTCCCCATTAAGCGTCACAGTGCATGATTGGATAGCCTCCCTGAACTTACAGTTTATGCTCACAATATCATCTTCAATCTCCATTTTCCCTAGAGTATCAATAAGTTTGTTCCGAATTAGTTTACGCCTACTGCCACTGGGTCTGTTGTCAGGCTTCCATTCAAAGTTTATAGGTTTGTGATTGCTTCCCGTAATCCTTAGATCCAAAGTTCTCCATTGTATTAATCTATTGTTACTCCTGACCAGTGTTAAATCAATTGCAGATTCCCCGGATGGTCCTACAAAAGTCTTGGAGCCGTCATTCAGAACTGTGTAACCATAATTTCGTACTAAATTGTCAAGAGAGGCTCCCCTTCTGTCGGTATTCATATTTCCCCAAGAGGTTGACTTGGCGTTGAAGTCGCCACATACAAATGTAGTCAAGCGCGAATCTTCAAAAAAGGCCATGCTCCTCTCCACAATGTCCCCGAAATGTTTCACATTCACATCCGGTGGGCAGTAAATACCAGTAATATTAAAATTAAATGGAAGATTCAAAGTCGATATTGATATTACCTCACCATCCGTGTCAATTCTATTAATCATGAATCTTATATTCTTCCTCAGGTAAATGCCAACGCCTCCATATCCATCATTCCGAAAATTACCAATAAAGTTGTAGTTCAGTAAATTGGTACTTCTATTATCCTTCAACCAGATCTCATATAATACTGCACATTCAATGTTATTCTTCTCCATATATAATTCAATCAGTTCCTTGTTACCTTTCTTCCCCAAACTCTGTATATTATACTGTAAAAATTTCATAATGTACTAGTAATTCTTTGCAATCGCACCACTTGTGGATGCGATTATTTCATCTCTGTCCTTAGTTATTAGCGCTCTGTCTAAAGCTCTTGCAATTTCACCTACGAATCTTCTGTCATTGCTTGAAAGCGAGTCATCTCCCCATTTACTGAAGAATGAGTTCGCCAAGGTTTTTAATTGGGTAGCTAGTCTTTCCACCTCTGTAACCGAGTGGGGGTTTTCAATATCTCTCTTCTCCTGTAATACTATTTGGTTCTCTCTGTTAAGTTGTCTCCATTGATCCATATCTTTTCTTGCTCTCTCTTCCTCTCTAATCCTGTTGGGGTTTGATTTGGTAACTTTCGCAAATGATTGGTTTCTATGTACGTGTCTCGCTGCTTCAATAGAGTTATCAATGATCTTATCCGGTCTGGTGCGTAATTGAGGGAAATTCACCTCAACACCGTCATCACCTAATATTTCAAATCTGTTTCCACCTATGATACCAGCATATTTAGTTCTAGCCTCTCTGATGCTCAAGTTCTCCAGAATCATAATTCTCTTCAGATTCAACGCTTTCTCCCGAGCCGGACAATTGCGGTCGGTGGGTGGGTGCAAGTTCTTACAATTTGTACAAGTTATCATTCCCGTATCACAATCAGAATTCAAAGTGTGTTTAGTAAAGCATTTGCCACATGTCTTCTCCTTCTGCTTACAGTTGTCCGCCATATGGTTAAATTTAAAACAGTTGTAACACTGTCCGAAAGGAATAAAAGGTTTGGTTATCAATTTCGTAAAAGCAAAGTCCATCTCCTTCGGTATGTTCAGTCCTCTAAATACAACCTTTACCTTCATAGTGGCACATCTTTCGTTTCCATTCTTTCTCGTCATTCTTATCAATTTGACTATAGGCACTGGTGATGTTAGCATGGCTGATAATTCCTTCATTGAGATCTCTTCCGGTATATTAAAGACTATTCCCGTTTTCGTCAAAAGGTGGGCAAAGATTCTTGGGGTGTAACCTGCACTCTCCAATTGTTTACTATTCACAAAATTATTTGCTGCCGATCTCGATCTGAACGTCACCTTACATCTACTATAACCTATTTTAATAATGTTGTCTATATCTCCTACCTTGAGATCAAGTAGTTTCTTCGCAAGTCTATACTGATTAATTGGTGTTCTTGGTTCCGCTTTCGCTGTGTCCACGTATACAGTGAAGGGGCCTCTATGATCATCCTCATATACTGTTGGCATGTTCTGCGAGACGAAGACCAGCGGGTCCTCAGTTTCGTCTTCCTCTTCATCTGGAATTGTACTGT